TGGTGCAGGATAGAGCAGGGTTTAGGGCTGTTGTGCATAGGGTCGCTATGAGTCGGAAACGACTCGACGGCACATAACAACAACAACAAGTTTCTCTTGGAGAAAAGGCAACCAGGGTGCTCCTTAGAGGCAAGAGTACTTTGGGCATGTTGTTGGGAGGCGTCAATCCTTGGAAAAAGAAATCATACAGGGAAAGGTAGAGAGATCAGAGAAAGAGTATTAGGCCTCAAGAAGATGGACTGGCACAGTGACCGTTATAGTGGGCTGAGTATATCGGAGATGGTGAGGACAGTGCAGGATAGGACAAAGTCCAGATCTTCTGTTCTGAGGGTTGCTGTGAGCTGTAGTCGTCTTGAAGGCGCTTAACAACATCACATCTCCCACCTGTCGTTAAGACTTGACTTTCAGCGGCTGGCAGCTGATCTGATCTTTGTGGCTAACTTTTGGGACCTCACCTACAAAGAAATCTGCCACTTTCTGCATAACATGCCTAGATTTTGCGGTGGAAGTTTTTCTAGTTCTCGCCCACACTGTCAGGAGAGACGTAAGCTTGCCCCTCCTAGTATAAGTGCCCCAAGGAGTTCTGGTAGCATTGTGCGGCGGGAATGGAAAGGACACTAGCTCAAATGCACCAGCTGCTTTATGAGTTGCCCACTGAGCTCGACAGCTCCACAACCCGCATATCTGCAAAGGCAGGGGCTCTGGGTTCCCGTCATCCTAGGGACTCACCGTCGCTGCGCGCCCTGTACTGACTTTACCTTTTTTCCAGCTTCATAGTTCGGCTGTGGCAGGGACACCTCTGGGGGAGCCGGAGCAACTGCAGCTTCCCCTTTGGGCCTCATGGCCGCCAAGTGCACGCGTGATCGCAGCTGCCTCACTTTCCCCATCGTCGCAGTGAAGATGCACAGACACGCGGAAGCACGCTGCAGAGGCTGCCGGAAGTCAACCGTTCACATTGGGTCCGTACGGGAAACAAAGGCTCGCGCTGCTTGGATCCGCACGTTTCACCCGGTGTTACCTCCCGGAAGTCAGGGTTCTCAATGGGGCGGGGCGGAGCACGCTACTTCCGGTAGTTTCCTAGGCATTACTGGGGCCGTTGAGCTTTCAAAGCTTTTCATCTACTAGAGGCCTAGTACGTAGGTTGTTGCACTGTTAACCCAAAGACAATTCGAATCTACCATCCCCTTCAAGACATCCCCTCCAAAACATGGAGAATCTCATGTGATTTACAGCCTCTGAAAACCAGCTCAGCGATGAGTCGAGTTGATGGGAAGTATAGTGGCCTTAGGAACTTGTGCTGCTAACACAAAGGCTGCCACTATCATACTTTGAGAACTGCCAGAAGTTTAGGCTGGGTTTAAAAGAGGAAATGGCACCAGGAATATCCTTGCTGATAACAGATCTTGCCTAAAAGCAGAGAATACCAGAAACAATGTCTGTTTGTGTTTTATTAACTATGCAAAGGCATTTGACTATGTGTATCATAACAAACTATGAGACCGTAACTAACATTGAGAAGAATTCCAGAATATATACAAAAACCCGAGAAGCTGTTGTTCGAACAGAGAGGAAGGGAACACTGCGTGATTTAAAATAGGGAAAGGTATATATCAGCGCTGTATCTTTTCTCCATACCTATTCAGTTTGCATGCTGACCAAATAATTTAGGAAACTAGACTTTAAGAGGGAAAGTATGGCCTCAGGATTGGAGTAAGACACAACCGGCAGTGTGCATATGACACAGCATTGCTTGATGAAACAGGAGGACCAGAGGTGCTTGCCACATAGGATCAGGGACTGCAGACTTCAATATATATTACACGTCAACATCAAGAACAAACTGGGAGGAGGGTAGAGAGAATAGTGCAACAATGAATGAGTGGAAGCCCAAAATCTCTGTAAATGTTTATGAAAATTAATAAAATATAATTATAGAAAAAAAAAGAAAAAAGAAAACAAAAATCTTTGCCACTGCAGTATTAGACAACATCATGATGGGGGACAGGGGGAGATTGGCATTATCAACTATTTCATCTTACCTGGACCCACAATACCCTCCGTATCAGCAGTTGGGAGAGTAGAAGATGTATAACATTGGGAAAATCTGCTGTCAAGAATATTTCTAAAGTCATGAGGAGCAATAATGTCACTTCAAAGACTAAGGTGTGCCTGATTCAAGCTCAGTCTTTTCAATCCCCTGCTATCATCTGAGGGCTAGACAATGAATAAGGAGGGCAAAAGAAAAATGGAAGCAGCATTTGTGCAATGGTTTTGGACAAGAGTGCTGAATATCCCACGGATTGCCAAAAAAGCAAACAGGTATGTCTTTGAGAAAGTGCAACCAGAGTACTCTTTGGAGGCAAAGATGGCAACCTTTCATCTTTCATATTTGGAATATTGTTGGCCTTTGTAAAGGCACATCATGCTTGGAAAGGTGGAGGGTGAGTGAAGGAGAGGAAGACCTTCAATGAGATGGATTGATGCATTGTCTACAGCAATGGGCTAAAATGCCTTGTAGATGATAAGGATAATACAGGATAGGGAAGGATTTCGATCCTTATTCATTATCCAACTTTCAGATATAGAAAATGTCGAGGCTTGGGTCAGGCACACCTTAGTCTTTAAACTGACGTTCTTGCTTTTTAGTACTTTGGAGAAATCCTTGACCGTAGATTTCCACATTGCATGATGTGTTTTGATTTTTGGACAGCTGCTACCATCAGCATTGATTGTGGGTCCAACTAAAGTGAAATAACTGACAGTTTTTAATCTTTTCTCCAATTATCATGATGTTGTTTATTGGTCCAGTGCCAAAGATTTTGTTTCCTTGATGTTGAAATGTGACCCATACTGAAGAGTCAGATATGAATCCGTTCCTACTCCAAGACAGAGTGTTAGTTCAGTGATTATAAGGACAGAGGTTTGGTGACATAGCCCATAGAGAGCTGTGCTGCTAACTTCAAGGGTTTGAACCCAATGGCGAATTCTCAGGAGAAAGATGGTAAGATTCCTTCTGTGCGATTTACACCCTCCAAATACCCAATAGTAACTCACTGTACATTAAAACTTACCAGCAAGAATAAGCTAGTATTCTGTGCATCCAGACGCGCTTAGACTAGTTCAACTCTGTCACAGATTTAAATGTTTCCTACAAGCCACGAGGGGGCAGTGGTGGTTCAGTATAAATCCACCTATTCTGGAGCCAAATAACCGATTCACCTCATGGCTGTCACTATCTGGCTATTGCTATATTGCTAACATGCAAATAGGATTAAAAGTCGAAAACAGAAATTTATTGAAATCTTAATATTACTTGAAAATAAGCAATACTACTGTTGGAGAGTGAAGAATATTCCAAAGAACATTTCTCATGCACTATGTTTCATAAAAATCAATCACCTAGGGAACTTGTCCATCATTACCCAGTCTTTTCATCCCTGTGAATCTTTCCCATTTCCTTCACACACACCCTCCACCCACCAAACTGTAAAACCTCTGTGGATTTGCTCCTACCCATCTTCACCCCTTCGCCATTTGGATTCTCATACATGTTTTACTAGTTCTTCTATTTTTACGCAGTATTTATCCTCATGAAACTGAGTTCAGTCAGCATAATGCTCTCCAGTCTCTCCCAAGTTAGTAGTATTTTTAAAATCATTGCTCCTGAGTGCTCCATAGTGTTTTATTGTGTGAATGGCTCACAATTTCTCAACCCAAGATTTCACAGATTTTTCTATACCACATTATCACCAGTAGGGAACCCTGATGGTCTACTGCACTGCTACCCAAAAGGCAACACCTCTCTGCACAGTAGAATCCACCAGCAACTCCTCCCTTGGGAGAAAGCAGGGCAATCTCCTCCCATACAATTCATTGTTGTTTTAAGTGCCATCACGTCGAATACACCTGTTTGTGACTTTATGAACAACAGATCTGAACCCTGTCCTATTTGTGCCAGCCTTATCGTTTCTCTTCCTGCCAAGGACTGGCCTCTCCTAACAACATGCCCAAAGTATGTGAGAAGAAGTTCATCCTCCTCATCTCTGAGAAGCACCCTGGATGCACTTTCTCCTATATAGACTTTCTAGTTCTTTTGGTGGTCCATATGATATTCAGTATTCTTCTCTTGACAGCACAGCTCAGAGCCATTCATTGTTCTCTGTCATCCTTATTCATTATCTGACTTTCGTTAGAAACCTGGTGGAGAATCAGCTGTGAGTCAGTTCCAACCCCACAGCTATGAGTTTGAGAGTTTTTGTTTATCACTAGTAAGTTACACATCTTTCTTTGTCTTCTT